TAGAATTTTTTCAACCGAAAAGGTTACGTCAGTGTCTCAAGTATCATCAGTTGAGACACACTTTTTAAAAGTGAATCACCTGATGCCTCATTCCAGTTTTATGATTTGTATAATTTCCAAGCAGAATTATCATAAAAATATTTAATATGAAAAAGAATAAAAAACTATCAATACAGAACCTAATGAACTCAAGAGAGAAAAATATCTGAAAAAAATTGAAGTTTGAAGACACAATAAAATGCAAATCTGGTTAATTCCTTTATAAGCATATACATTAGAGCTATGCTGTGAATCTTTAAATGTTTAATACATAGCTCAGCTATGTAGCTAATATTAACCATTAGCTTATATCGCTTACAGAGAGGAATGGGTAATATATTGCAGCAAAAAGTATTTATCCAACCAAAGACCAAACTTTTAGCCGCTAACCAATAATAAATATAAATGTAAATTAACAAAGTGACTGCAATAATTTTTCATTTAGTTACTGCAAATATTGCTAGGAAATGTTTTGCAAAATATCTAAAAATAGTTACTAAGACTGTAAAAAACCGAAAAGGTTACAATTAAATATGCAGCGTTGATTTTCGATATTTTTAACAGAAAAATTTTTTCTGACACTTCTTTTACTTCCTAATGTAGTTGAGAAATATTATGATGTACAGAGGCTGTTCGCACATTTTTTAGACGATTTTGGTACGCAGTAATAAAAAATTCGTTTGCTGAAAAAGAAGTAATTGCAATTGTACTATGTTTTTTAAAAGTCAAAATTATCGTCTGTGGCTTGAAAGTTTTGTTTTTATTCAAGATGGCGAATTTAACAAAGCAGTGGTTCGAAGGCTACATTTACGCTCTTTCTGAAGAGAAATATGCATACTCCGTTATCCAAAAACGATGTGAGAGTCATGGTTTTGTGATATCTAAAGCGTCGATAAGTACTATCATCAACAAGAAAGGAAAAAAACGTCGAATTGGAACCTCAAGTGGGACAAAAATTCCAAACAAGTATCCAACGAAAAAACGTACATCTTCGACTATTGCAAAGGCACGTTGTTTAATTTTAAAAGAAAATCCCCCTAGTCAAAGGACAGTTGCAAAATCATTAAAATGCTCGGTGTCCACTGTAAACAAAATGATAAACGTTGATTTAAATCTTAAGAAAGCGAAAAAAGCAATGTGCATCGTCTTCTTCCAAAGCATATCGCTCAACGCAGGACATGCTGCAGAATTCTATATGAGAAACACTTATCCAAAGAAAAATAGAAAACAGTTGTCACAATAGATGAAGCATGGGTGTATTTAAAATAATTGTAACAAAAAAAAAAAAAAAAAAAAAAAAAAAAAAAAAAAAAAAAAAGCCATTTATTACTATAAAAGGGGAGGAAAAAATTTAAGTACATTAAAGAATCGAAAGAATGTTTTTCTAAGGGATTCATGATTGTTGCTGGTTTTTCTTATAATGGCAAGTTAAAAATAAAGAGAGTGCAAAACAAAATATTACGATTAACTCCAAATACTATCAGGAACATATTTTATCGCCAATTTTTCTGAATGAAATACCATCGCTTTACCCACAGTGCCATAATTCTGTGAGACTCCATCAGGACAAAGCTAGCAGTCACACATCAAAATCCACTGTAAATTTCCTAAAAGAAATGGAACAAAAAAAAAAAAAAAAAAAAAAAAAAAACTGGTATCAAGGCCATACCCTGACTGATATCCTTACTAAATCTCCCGATGTGTCACCTATGGATTTTTGTGTTTTCGGACTGTTAAAAACTGCATTATCCAAACGTTGTCCCAAAAACCCTAACAGGACTCTGGAAAGCTGTTCGGGAGGAATGGCATAGAATATCTCTTCTGCCACTTCAAAAGGCATTATTATCCTGGAAATTGCGGTGTCGAAAGATACTCGTAGTTCAGAATAAGGGATGTCAAATAGAACATTTAAAATACAAGAATTTTATGTAATTTAGTTTTGTGAATACAATATACGTCGTCTAAAAATTTGTGAACAGCCTCTGTATTTATTTGCAAGTACTGTGAAGCTGCTCTAAACTATGTCATAATAGTAGGTTAAGGTTGTTTAAGTCGTGCCTTTTAAGTATTAGGCGTAACATCAGAAAAATTGCGCCTTTTCCAGCAAAACGAATTACCCCTAATCTATCATATTGTTTCACATCGTGTTCATCTCCATGTAATATTTGTACGAAGACCGCGAAGAAAATATGATTCAGTGTCTAAAATGCAAAGGATGGGTACACGACTTAAGTGCTGAAGTTGTGAAAAATACCTTTGTGATCATTGCTGTAATTAATTCTATGACTAAGTTAATCGAGAAAAAGAAAGTTTTATTATAACTGTCCAATTTTAAACGTAGTACGACTTAAGCTATATGTGGTACGACTTACAATATTGGCTGTGTAAGTCGTATTAAGTTCGCGTTCATAAATTTTATTAATGTTGTCCAAGCTAGTAGACTGCATGGAAATTATTGCAACAAATATCAGCAATGACAACACAAAATATTATTACCACGCACAATTTTTATGTTTTTCATAGATCCTCTGATTTATACCTAGTTTTTCTTAGGCGGTGCGACTTAAACAACCTTACCCTACTAAAGAATAATGTGCAAATAGCTCAATAATAAAATAGTTAAGATTTACGGCTAGATTATAAGATATCGATTACGCGCCGGCCAAAGTCTTCAAAAGTTTGTTGAACTTTGCATAGTGTTAGTACATGCTGAAATGGATTCCAATTTGACACAAATTTTCGAACTAGTTGAATACTCTAGGTAAGTATTAATAAATAACAATAAACTACTATGGAAGCATTTCCGATTATTTTTCTGTAGCCATAAATACACATAATTATGCTTCCGGACTTCAACAGTTAAAAATCAAAATACTTCTTTGCGAGAGGGATGAGAATCTTTTTACGAAAGCAGAAGATGTGAAATGAAAAAGTTAAAAAATCCTAGCGAAGTATTTACGGTTAAAATATTTTCGTTTTATATTTTCTTCCAGGTTGCAACAGGTTAATTGATTTGATGCCTATTTTTTTATCATTTGAGTTCCACAACTGATTTTGGTCATATTTCAGTTTTTCGACTGAATTTTCCTAGACACTTGTTCAATGCAGCATTAAAATTCTCCAAGAGATGATTTGTTTGGGAATTTCTTTTCTGAAACTTACCACTCAAAAGGAGGCAGATTTGTGAATATTAGACGAATAGGAAATCTGTAACGAAACATTTCACGGAAGTCTAAGACTATAGTAATTTGAAAAAAGTATACATATATATCTGTCTACCGCCTAGAGTTTCTAGTTCTTTTGTTTATTTATCTATTTTTTTTTTTTAATTCAACATCAATCCTTTTTCGTTCTCATGGGTATATTGCAATATTCTTACCCTACTGTCAGGATTTTTTTCCTATTTTTATATTTATTTCAGCCGTATTAAAAATTCCGCGTTGCCTAAACTGTATTTTTATCTAGGCATCAGCATTCAGAGTCCATTTCATTTCACAGTATCTCAAAAGCAAATCACCATGGATAACAAATCTGGAAATCACCATCGCTAAACAGCTCCATTTGCTGAGACAAACATACTCCCGAGAAGAGAGTAACGGATATAAAAAACATAAGCCCACAATACGATTGGAGATGGTTATTGTGCATATTTTGGACTAATATAATTTTAAACTTAATGGGATAAGATTCATTTTTCTTTAATTTCAGAGTTATCTCACATACGAATAAGTAAACAATAACTTTTCGATACTGCAAATACTAAGTGTGACGGCCGTTTCACAATCCCCCCTTTTTTTCCAGCCTCGATGGATTACTTTGCTCATTCTTGAAGTCCAATATGTCGACGCCTAATTCAGTAAATTAGGTTTACTTTCCTGAAACGTCACGATTTTTTGTACAATTGAAACGTCACAATTGTTCGTTTGATTCCGCTAAACAGAAGAATTCTAGAAATTATAACAAACAGGGATAATTGAAATTTTAAGAGTACCAAATTTTCAAACGAAACAGCATCGAAACCTGCAAGAGAGTGAAGAGAGAGAAGGAGGTAAATACTTTACGTGTTTCTAAAATATTCTGTATTACTGTGCCAGCGGTTGGGTACAGAAGATACGGAATAACTTTTACGAAAACGTGAAACACTGTTTGTGCGCGTTTCTTTCAAATAACTTGAATGACCAATTCAGCAGAATATATAACAGGTTTTTAGAACTTTTTAACACTTTAAAGAGGATAGTACTGCATGGAAGAGGAAGAAACTTTCATTTTGATACTAAACTGTTAAGACAAAATATAGATATCTGTTTCAGAGAAAATTCCCTTTTGGCTAGGCACATTTAAATTTAAAACTAATCCATATGAACACGCGCTTATGATTGTACGTACAGAGGAGATATATCATGAAAATAATACTTTTAGTTCTGCATATTTTTAAAAGTAATCAATCTGTGTATTTCAGTTACAAAAAAAAAAAAAAAAAAAAAAAAAAAAAAAAAAAAAAAAAAAAAAATGTGTGCCCAATATTCTCTGCCTACTAGCTACCATTTTCTCAGATTGAGCCCATTGAATGGTAAAATTAGTGCATCGTAGCTAAATATACTTGTTTTCTGTAAATCAGCATTTAAGCAACTTTTAAGTTGTGATAACTGTATTTTAGATTTAACCCTAAATACATTCGGACAGATTTAAAATAATTGTTTTAAAAAGAGCAATATTAAGCTATATTTGCGGTTTACGCCGATTAATTTGTGTTCTTCTCTTTTCCACTGAATAATTTTCCGTTTTAGAACCATTTTGAAATGAAGGTGCAATGCGAATAAATAAATAAATAAATAAATTTTAATTTCTTAGTTAACAGCAAAATTATCTTGAGACTTCCTACGGTCTTCTAAAAGCTGAAATACAGTAAAGATCTACAGCAACGTTCATACGAATTGTAATTGCAAATCATTAATGCATACCTGGAATGGCCTTTCGAGTACTGGTATCCACTGTCCCGAACCACTTGTCTGGCCAAAGGAAATAACTCGTCCCTGCGAGTGAGAAGAGCAGGAATGTGCTTGCAGATCTGAGCAGCGGCCTCGTTCACCGACACCTGGAACCATTCCTTTGGCATTATTGTACACTACTTTTGGCAAAAATAATTCAATTAGATATAATAAAACACAAATGAGAATAAAAAAAACAATAATTCCCCGTTTTAATTTTGGGCGGAATAGTCTATGGCTTCTCTTTCAAGGATATTACCTATATACAAAATCATTCACACACAAGAATAAATTTGGTGCCCAGAAGCCCATCAAGTAAAGCAACACACTCTTTGTTAGAATTCGTAATAATAGAAGCGAAATTAGTAGGTTGGGAAGCTGATGTAGGAATGCATGTTGATGATTAGGTTTTCGGTAAAACGGGACTAAATTGTTTAATGGTAACAATGCATTTCTTTTAAGAATTAATATAACATCAAAAGCAGAATTAATATAAGGTTGCACAAACAAGTTTTCACAACGTGAAGCCTTAAATGAAACGAAAAATTAAAAACTTTTCTCATAAATTCACTTTGAGCAATTCATCTGCCCTGTGACTCACTGAAGCCAGAAAATAAATAGTCACACATATAGGAACCAAGGAAATCAAATAAAAGTGTGCAAGGCTAATTTGTGCTCTTGAAAGCCTGAAAACAAATGCGAGCGAACAGAAGATACTAGAAAATGTTACGCCGGTTTCCAAATACCAGGAAAAATTATGAACATCAGAAATAACTGACGATAATGCCAAATAGAAGAAAAATATCTGAACAAAATATCAATTACTTGATCTGTTTCACACGAAGTTGGCTGAATTTTCTAAGGCAGAACATTTACAAACAAAATGTCGGACACTAGTTACATGGGAGAAATTAACGACGTGACAAGAAACAAATCTACTTCAAAAATAGGAATAAATTTTGGTAATTAAAAAAAATTTACCTTCTTTCTTCTAAAGACCACTCAGAGAGCAGAAAAAGAAAGCCAAGGAAGAAGTACGCAGTCACATAACATATTGATTGCAAATTAATTAATATTATTGACAAATGATTAAATACAGGTAATTAAGTGAAGTGTAGCTGCAAATTTTACTATTTGCTTTTAAAAAGATAGTACGCAACTTTATTCTGACATTCGTTTCATGCATCACATCAGATTTATTTTCATTACGTAAGCTGCAGGGTATTCAAAGACAAAAACAAGTTATCAGTTGAATATTCTGATGGCTTTTGCTTTTAAACCTATTTCTGTATCTTTAAAAAATATCTGATCGTCAACTAAATACAAATAACATATTAAACTATTTTAAGAATGTGGCTTGCTTTACAAGCTGACAGCATTCTATATGTTGAACATTATAGAAAGCTCACTCCTCGAATGTCATTACAAATTCTTTCTCATAGATATAACGAAACAGAAAGCATTGGGATCTTACAGCAAAATCATCTCTGACCATAATGTCACATATATATTATGTGTGCGCTTATTTGTTTGGGACATGCCATATGATAATTGCTTGATAGTGCAAATGTAGTTCACATTAGGCACACAATAGTGGATCCAACTTAATACAAGCATTTACCGAAATCTTTTACTGCGAATTCCTTGAAATATTATGCGAGATTTTAAAATGAGACGAGCTATTCAAAACTAAGATTATATTAAACATTTTAGGACTCAGATTTTATTATCTTTTAGGAAGACATAGCGGAATGAAACGGATTTTGAAAATTTGTTCTAAGTCACGTATAATTACGAGAACAAAACTCCGGACTTCGCATCGCTTTTCGAAGCGTTCGATTTGTTGAATTTGTGAATGTTTGTTTTTTTAAACAAAGACACAAAATAGATATGTTAAATTGGATTATTTGAATACAACGAGGCATACGAGGTTATATGCCTAAGAGAATGGAAGCCTTCATGGAAGAACTTTCTAAGGCAAACTGTATCGTAGTGACGTTCTACACAGGGAAAACCACAAGCAGCCTATTTGCCGGGTTTTGAACTTGGGTCGAACTACAAAAGTTAGGCAGTCTTAACCATTCGACCAATGGTGGGCTACAAAATCAAATACGAATTTATAAATTTCAGATTGATTGATTGTTTAATTAGATTGAAATTAGATGTTTGAGACGGAAAAAAATTCATTTTTCAATTCAGTAGAATAGTTAAGTTACTAAAAAATAAATGTGTAAATAACAACAGTTCTTCAAATCGGTCGACTGAAAAGTCATTAATATACGAGAAATACAAAATATATACTACGATAACGAGAATCTGTACTAGATAATGAGAATTCTTCGCCAGCGACGGCATTGCTAACAACATGGGATCCAGTCAGAAGTAAAATTAATCAGGATACAAAGTGGAATTAACCAAACTGGGGACACTAATGAGTCCCAAAACAGAGATTAGGTTATTTGAAGATAGAGGTCTCTCTGCCTAACAGAAGGGATGCCTATATGGGGGACTATCTAAGAAAAGCTGAATAGTAATTTCCCGTTTCACATGGGGGGGGGAACCACAGAAAACAACCAATGAAGCTAGCTCGTTCACCTGGGTTCGAGCCCGGGACGAAATATTAGTATTCAACAGTCTTTAACCGCTCGGCCGTTCGTGGAGCTCGTTCACAATAGAGAATCAATCATACACATAGCAGACAGTTTTCACACCTGTAGGAGTAACAGCAGCAATCAGGGGAATAAATAAAAGAAAAATTTTGATTCAAATTTCACTGATAATCCGAATGCTTCTGTTACATATTATTACAATTATGATAGTTTAATGCTGGAAGTATTTGAGTATTTTCCAGTGGACCATGAACTAATTTTATTGTTAATAAGGGTAAGACATTTCACACTATATTTCCAACCACAGACAGTTGCGGATTTTGTGCCTACTTTGTATGCATATAACGAAACGCCTCTCCGAGCTTTCGATTGATGTTGGGAGAGCGAGGGGTCATTAAGCTCAGCCCCCCATCGTACTGAGCCATTGGGTCAGAATAGCTCCGATGGCAGGATAAACTGTAAGAATAACATCTGTGATCCATTATGGAAAGCTCAACTTTTTCCTACAAATAAATAAATATCAGCCGAGTACATGGAAAAGTTCCTTAACCACACAGGAGGAAGTGGTTTTTTTTTTTTTTTTTTTTTTTTTTTTTTTTTTTTTTACTTTCCTTTGAAACACCACATAATTTAGGGCTACTTAAAGTTGGCAGGAAAATATTATAGAACATGTGCGTATAAAAATTAAACATTAAGCGTGCTAATGGAATAGATCCTGAATGTATTTTCTACACCCTCGAAAAAAAAAAATATTCAAAAGCAAATTAAATTATTAAATGAAGGATTCTTGATGAAAAATCACTCGTTCTAATTATTATTATTATGAGCCGTGGTTTAAATATTTATATATTCCTGGCGTGGTGTGAAACTTCCATTAAATACAATGCCAAAATTCTCACTAGTAAGATTTATATATATATATATTTGTGCAGAATGTTTAGATAATTGATTGCCGAATTTAGATAAAATATACGCCTTAAAATAAAATAAGATTAATTAAAATTATATAGTAATTGAATCGCATGCTTAAATTTCATATGTACACACAACAAAAATGCTTATCCGATACTTCATATGTTTGACAATGTGCAACTAATATTTATCGTTTTTTGATAAGATATAAAAAATAACAACAATTATAAATTTTGATAAAATGTGGAAACTCTGGCTAAGTGGAGCGAAATTGAAAATTCTGCAGTAGAAAATGAAATTTTAATCGTATTAAAGAAACAAAATTTCCAACAAAACGATTTGAAATATCAAACTGTATTTAAACAAAATAAACTGAACTCAAACATATAATGGACTCTTGAAAGGAAGACAAATTTCGTATCCTTTATTAAACTTAACAAAGGCGTAAACACAAAACCCAAAGGAGTTAAATGAAATACGAGCTGGAAAGCTCGAGAAAAACAAATATCCAAATCCTTCAAAATTCTGGGACAGAGCACGAAAAGCAAAATTTCTTCTCAGGTGACATAAACAAAACGATTTCTCCATATGCAGAGAAACACCACTTTTCTTTTTTAAACTCCGCGTGCAACAAAGCCGTAAACAAAATTTTTAGCTTTTCAAGAGAAGAAGGGGAAAAAAATGGAATACTGATGAGGAATAAGAACAATACATTTTTAAAGAGAAATACGACCATTCATTTACAATTCTACTCCGCTAGAAAAACTTCTTATTTTATTCATGCGTTTGTCCCCCTTTTCTTGCTCTTAAACAGAAAATAGAAAATTTCTTGTCAGCGCTACGCAGTTCTTTGAAGCATTAGGAGTTATTTTGAAGATATTTTTCAAATTCAACTTTTTCATGAGCAATAAAAGCAAATTCCTAAATTCTTGCTGCAAATCAAGGTGTGCACATGCTACATTTCGAGTTTTGGGTGAATGTCAAAATTTCTCTCTGGAGGTTATTGAGGACAGAGCCGCAGTTCATTTTCTAAGCTAAAAATCAGCAAATTTTAGTAAAAAAAATAGGTTAAGATTACCCATCAGAAATATTCACACATTACCACAACTGCTGCAGGGGAAAAAGGAAGTACGCTTTGCAATCCAGTTTAAGAGACAGGCAGATTTCCCTAATCAACCAACTTAATTTATATATTTACACAACATAACAAACAAGGCAACACCAAGATAATATTTCTAAATTTATATAATTTGAAACAAGATAATATATTTTAAAGGAAATTAGATTTGAACACATTTCTGATCTATTTTTTAAACCATTTTAATCGTCTTTTTCACGTGGAATTCTAAATTTCGATGTCTTCTCACTTTTCTTAAATCTAACCTATTTAACTTGTAGTAGTTTAGAATAATATACAGGCTTTAGTTATTTGTTGGAGAATATTCAGAAAAAGGTTTAATCGACTTAGACGTAGGTGGTGAGATGGCATTTATAGGAGAGAATTAAACAAATGCTTTTAGAATTCCAGGGTCTCCATGTCTATTCAAAACATTCACTTCCCCTACTTTAAGGATAAAATTTGACCAGTTTCTCCATCC